TGAGGAGCAACAGACTGGAATGTGTCATGTCCTTGACGTGCCCTTGTGGCATTCCGGGATTAACTGCAGGCCCATCACTTTAAATACTAGCGACTTGCACAAATGCCTTTATTGATATGAAAGGTTTTAACAGCCCCTTAAGATCATTTAAAAGCTTCTGCTCATGACATACTTGACATGAGGGAGGTAATTACAATCGTTATCTTCTAAAGTGGCTCCAGCAGGTTGACAGGCTATAGCTCCACGCCTCCTGTGGGGTTGGCATCACTGCAATGGTGAGAGGACAGCCCAGACTGTCTCCAGAGGGAAAGTGGGCCCTCCAGCAGATGTAGAATAGAAAGCACTGCAGGCCCTTTTTGGTAAGCCCTGGGGAAGGACTGAACACTTGCTGGCAGCTAGGGCTCCCCATGTGCTGGGGCCCTAACTCCTTCCCCAAGTCCTGAATGTCTAGAAGTCTGAACCCCCAGCTGTTAAGAGAGCAGTGGCTGCAGGACCGAGGTAGCAATGCCTCATGGTGCATCGCTCCTGCCAAATTCAAGAGCACAGCTAAGTCCCTAACTCCTGGATCTAGCTGTACTTGAAGTTTGAAAGAGCAATTCCCCCACACCCCGCCCTTTTCCCCTCCAACCGCCACAGCTCCAACCGCCTTCTGGATGCTGGTGACTAAAAACAGATGAGTGACATTCAGTTAGGAAGTGGGTTAGAGTTAAGGAAAGCTGATTTGGGCGGGTTTTGGGGTGAAAGGGAGCATCCTGCCACAAAAGCTAGCTGAGCTGGTGCTCAAGTTGACCTTGAGTGAGACAATGGGCCTCATTTCCTTGTCTGTAAATTGAGAATAATTTTCCCTCCTTGTAGGATGGTGATGGAGAGGATGTCAACCAAGGAGTGACAGGTTCATAGCGGCCACTCACTTGTCACACTTGGCTGGATGCCCTGGTTGGTGGGGAGTGGAAGCATCTGGAAGCCCTGGGCTGGCTCCTGCACCTCACCCTGGACCCCAGGAGATGGCCTCCAGGCAACAGGCAGGAAGGTCATTTAGAAGACTAGCCTCCCAGCAGGCTGGGCCGCATCCTGACCCCAGGTTCTGCCCAGGGTGATTTTGGTCCTGACCCTAGGATCTCTCAGAGAAAGGAGGTGCTCTGCAGCCTGCGGCGCAGTCCTGGTGTTCTCCCGGGTGAGGTCAGGTGAGGAGACCCCTTTAGCTCAGAGTCTGGCATCCTCCCATCTGGGCAGCCAAGGGTTTCCCCTCTATTTCTGGTATTACTCCAGCCCTGCCTTCCCCAGGGCAAAATCCCCATGAAATGACCTCGTAAATAGCCGAGACCTGGTCTAATGCACTGGATTTTTGTTTCTAAATTTCTCCTGCTCTCATTTCTCTTCTGCAACCACATTCTTAGCACAGTGTTTGGAGGCCAGAAGCCTCTGCCCAACCCAGCTTGTTGAAAACAGAGCATCGAGGTGAAAACCAGCTGTGTGCAGGATTGGCAGCGGTGGTGGGGGAGACAGACCTGGGGCTCTCACTTTTCAGGGTGTGGGATATGGACAAATAAAGGGGTCCTATGGAAAGTAACCTCACAGGGTGATCTGATCATAGTCGTCACTCCCTAGGCATATGCCTTCTTCACTAAAAGGCTTTGCTTTAAGCAAGTCCCGTCCACTGTTTCTGTGCATCTAGGTTAACACACCTTTGAAATGCCCACTTTCACACCCCTCCTTCTCAGATAAACTGCCAAGACAGCAAATCTGACCCTGTAATCTGACTCCCACCTTGCTTTCTCCTACCTCCATATAATCTTCCTTAAGTTCCTCCCCTTAGTTTCAGATGCATAAAAGAAACTGCAAAACTGTCATTCTTGGGAGCATTTGGCATCTTTCTCCCCAGCATATGTAATCAGTTTGGCCCCAATAAACTCATAAAAATTCTCTTCAGGTTTGGACATTTCTTATGTCAATAGTCTTATGTCACCTTCTACATGACCCTCTGTAGTGAAAAGCTTGAGATCTCACTCTGTGTGCTTCTTTAAGGATTTCAAGAACCTCTATAGGAGGAACTCCGGGCCATGACACAAACCTTTGAAAAGTCCTGAGCTGAGCTCTGGGTGAAGAGTCATGAGGCTCTACATTTTGTGGCCCCCTGACAGTGCCACTGACACAGACAGGTCCCTCCTGAGCCTAAGTTTTCTCAGCAGGAGGTGGCCTATAGACATCTGTCCACCTTTGGGTCCATAAGAGCAAACCACTGCAAATAAAGGACCTGAAGGTTGGTCAACCGGGCATCACCTAATCCAGAGCCCATCCCGGAGCAAAACCCTAACTAATCCAGTGCCTCACCTAATGCAACAGCAGAACCTCAGTTAATCCAGAGCCCATTCCACGGTGGGGCCTCAACTAATCCAAGGCTCATCCTATAGCAGGAACTCACCTAATCCGAAACCCATTTTACACCAGGGCCTCACCTAATCCATAGACCATTTTACAACAGGCCTTTACCTAACCCAGAGCTCATCCCACAGCAGGGCCTCACCTAGTCCAGACCTCATCCTGCAGTGGGCCTCTCGTTATTCTGATGGGGAGGAGCACTAAGATGAACTGCTCTGCAAAGTGGCCAAATTCAACCCAAAACTCACAAAAATAAATCAACCAACCAAGAGAGAGCAATGAAACAAAAAGCGCAGGGAACATGTTCCATGCGTGTAAAACACAGGAGCAAACGGAGTGTGCATGTGCGTCCGCAGAAGATGCATCCACTCCCTCTAACTCTGGTTCCCCACCTCCAACCAGGCAGGGAGCCTCCCCTCATGTAAGTGTATTATACTAAAAATTTTTTAAAATTAAGTTAAAAAAAAAAAAAAAGGATTCAACGAAACTCTGGAAGGTTGTCAGACAGGGTTATCAAGTCCTCTGGGGTGGGTAGACAGATGAATCATAGACTCTATCAGTCAAGACTGCCCAACAGCCAGAGGCAGCAGCAGAACCCCTGGTGGCGAGCACGTGCCCTCGGGTCTGAGGGCAACAGGAAATCTATTTGTGTTGGTCAATAAGAAGAGGCCTGCATTCCCCGGGGACAGCTGGCCCTTGACTTGAGAAGGTGAATCTATTCGCACAGGGCTCTGAAAGCTCATGTTCTTGCGGCCTTGTCCAGAAATTCCGCCTCTACCAGTGACTCTGGGAGGAAACCTTGCCGACTCCACCTCAGGGCTCAGCTGCCACGACCCTCGTGTGCATCATATGAAAAGCCTCACAGTCCCTGGCTTTTCTCTAAGGGAAAGTGTCCAGTGTAGAATACTTCCTTCTAGGGGGAAACACCCTAGATGAGGAGTGTACAGCCCTGCATTCAAATCCATCACACAAGTTGTGTGATCTTGGCAAGTCACTCATCTGACCCAAGCCATAAAATGCAGGTCATGACCTCTCTCTAGGCTGATGATGGCAGCGCAGTGAGATGATGCAAGTAAGAGCACAGCACATGCCTGGCACTCACCGAGCTGAGTAAATCTCAAGCACGTGCCTCCAAGCACATGGACAGCAGAGGGAACTTCCCTCTCCTCCGTGACCCTGGTCTTGTTTAGTCTATTTGGACAAGAGCCCTGATTTGGCTCACATTATGCAATCACAGTCACGATGGGAGGTGTCCAGGAGGCCATGTCCCCTCTTGCACATTTAAATGGCCACCTGTGATTCTGTGGATGACCTTGTCTCTTTCCGTGGCAGACACCCGGGGCTCCCGCCTCTACTGCTGTCCCACACAGCACTAAAATTTACTAATTCCAGTCAATTACAATAAAGCAGTGGTGATTTCTTTAAACCTGAGTAAAATTCAAAACAGCTAGCCCTCTCCCTCCTTCCTCAAATTAAGTAAATTGCTGTTCTCTGGTTAAACTATCAGATAGTTCCAGCTTTCTCTTTTGCTCAACCTGTTCTCATCTGAAATTGGTGAAATTTCCAGTACCTAACTGAAAGCCCCTATGCAGGACCTGCCAGCCCACCTTTAGGGATTAAGTCAGTGGCTGTGGGCTATAGGAAACATTTGAGAACATTTTGAAAGGTTGCGTTCCCCGTCCTGTGTTCCCCTATTTGGATCCTCGGGAGAATATCAAAGGCATCTGAGCTAAGGCAATGATTTAAATGATCCTACTGTCATTTGATGGTGAGGCCAAGGAAAGTAGGGTAAGCATGTGGGCTAATGGCTGCCCACTTCCCCCCGGCCCTGTGAGCCATCACCTCACCCTTCCTGCTCCTTTGAGAGATCCGAGAACTGGCTCAGGAGGCAGCAGTCCCACCTAGCACTCAGGTGAGATGGAGCATTCCTTGAAGATACACAGGGTTATTATCTCTCTCAAACCTCATGCCCTTCAAGACAGGCCTATCATGTCAACAACCCATATTCACAATTAAGCAGCCCTGCTGAGGACCAGTTTCCTCTCCTTTCTCAGGGGAAGAAGGCATCTGCTCTACTTCTGGTGGTATTATTGGCTTGTTTGCCTTGTTAAAGTAGCTCAAAGCCCCAGAGCCAAGAGTTATACACACGTGCCACTGTGTAACATCTTAACCAGAACAACAAAATGATGACTGGGTTAGAATCTGAGGGCAAAGTGCTCTGGGATGGGGGGAGAGTTACAGCGAACACCACTCTATGTTGCAATTACAAATAGCCTGCAATTCCACTTGCTGTGCACTTTTGGCTGAAGCTGGCAAATATTCAGTGAAAATCAGCTTGAGTCTTGCTTGTGACTTTTTAACAAAAGGTTACTTTGCTGGATTCCTAACACATATAATCCTTCCTCCTTGTAACAGTCACCAATAAAACATGCACAAACAGGAAGTCATTTTTCTTTTGTCTTTGGGGAAAAAAGCACCTGGTTACAGAAATTGTAGAACCCCAGTGGCAATAATGTTTGATATTTGTCCAAATGGACTTTGGCCCTTTGCCCCAGACTCTAGCTACAAATGGAGATCCCGGGGAAGCTACAGGAGTTTCACAGAACCAGAAGTCCATTTACCTTGAAAGTTGTTGCGGACTCCGGATTGGCCAAAACCAAAGGTGAAATGAGAACCATACCGGAGAAGTGGCCTGGCCTCTCTGCAGCCGTGAGGATGGCGATGGCACCTCCCTGCAACACAAAACGGGCAGAGTTGCTGTGTGCTGGCTTCCCCCAGCGCCTGATTTCTAATGAACTCCATGGATCAGGTCCTCCTAAGCCTGGCCCAAGAGTCCCAAGGAGGTCCACCCTGGACTAGGCACCATCGAGTGTTGGATAAACTGGGTCTGCAATTATTTTATTACATTTATTCCCCCAAGAGCAAACATTTCAGAGAGATACAAATAAGGTTCCTGCTTGTGGGCTGCAAGTTAAACAATAACACATTCCTACTTTGCTTCAAACCAAAAGCTGGCAGACATCCAATTCATCCATTCTGTCAGGCTTAATCAGAGGGTTTTTTGTTTTGTTTTGTTTTTAATCTGATGATAATAAGAACCCCCTACGCCCCTGGTTCAGTAAAGGTTCCAGAAATTCAGGTACCAAGAAAAATACTTAGTGAACATGGATGGTGCTGAAGGTCTGAAGCCTTGGCTGTTTGCTGAAGCTGCAAGTAGTCTGAACCAAGGGTTGAAACTGCAAATGCTCACGGGGGCCAGGCAGGTAAGAGAAATGCAGGAACAGAGCCAGGCTGTGATGTGATAAAGGGGGTGGAAGTTCTGCTCTAGAGTGAAAAGTTTCCCCAAATTCAAAATCGAGCAGTTCGGCCCAACCGGCACAGCTCAGTGGTTGAGTGTCGTCAACCCACGAACCAGGAGGTCACAGTTTGATTCCCGATCAGAGTACACGCCCGGGTTTCGGGCTCGATCCCCAGAAGTGGGGTGGTGCAGGAGGCAGCCAATCAATGACTCTCTCTCAACATTGATGTTTCTATCTCTCTCTCCCTCTCCCTTCCTCTCTCTGAAATCAATAAAGACATATTTAAAAATTAAAAATAAATACAATAAAAAGATGTTTTTTTAAAAAATCAAGTAGTTCAAATTCTCTGCCAGCCAACCCGTCAGGTTGTTCGGAGGAAGATTTGCCCTGGCCGCTGCCAGTTTCAGAACCCTCAATTTAAAGATTATACTTGGTTAATTCTTATAGGATTTTATAAATTTAAAGGGTGAAAAGGATTCTGAACAACCGTTAAGGAATTGGGTCCACGGCGAGCCTTTGTCCCTAGTTCCCACTTGGACAGCTCTGAAGCCAGCAGGCAGGGTTTTGGCACATTCTGCGTGCTTCTCACTGACTGAAGCACCGTCCCTGCTCTGAGAAGTGGCTCTGCAGGGAGCAGAAGTGCCCTTGAGAGCCTCACTATGAAATGGCACTGAGGTAGAGGCAGGGTTAAAAAAAAAAAGATCAGTTTCTCAAAGTGCCCCACACCTGAGCTCCTCAGTAAGGACTGCTGGGCCACCTCCTGGTGCCTTGGGCCCTGGAGGAAGTAACCGGCCACTCTGAGCTCCCTCTGGGGCTGTCTCTGGGACTCAGAACCTGACCTGTTTCCTAAGCACTAAATTGCCTGGGAACTCCAAGTGCAGAGTGGGGTGTGCCAGCCAGGCAGGGAGATGGGATGAGGCAGGGAGGCAGGGCCCCTTCTCCATCACGGTGTTCTCGCACTGCGCACCCACCACAGGCCCGCTCAGGACTGGGTCTTCTGTGGTCTACTTACCATGGAGTGGCCCAGAAGGAAGACGGGCAGCCCCGGGTAGTCTTTCTGCACCGCATCCACGTGCTGTAACACATCCCTGACGAAAACGTGGAAGTCGGACACTACCATCCTCTCCCCTTCGCTTTGTCCATGGCCCACTGGAAGGGAATGGGAGACAAGAGAGCTGCAGTGACTGGGAGGTTGACTTCCGCCCGAGCGCAGCAGTTTCCTCACCAGAATCACCAGCCACTCTTCACTGAGAACCCGAGCGGATCATCTCACAGAACCCGTCTCCCCCGCTATACAGGTTAGGAAGGTGAGGCACAGGGTGCTTAAGGAACCTGCCGAGATCACACAGTCAGGAAGTGAACCACACTGCAAACCCTGCCCGTGTCGCCAGGACGTCTTCCCTGCGGCCGTTTCTAAGGCAGAAAGAAAGGCAGGTACGCGGGGAAACTCACCAGGCCTCGTTTTCTGCAAAGTGGTCAGCAGTGAGACCCATGAGGCTCAACATTTTTCTGGGTTTTCCTGGTTCCTTGACCCTCACAGTTGCATCCCCATGTTAGCCTTTCATCAGATAAAGTGTCGCCTCATTTACAGAACATAGTACGACAAACATAAAATAAACAGTTAAGTGTGTTCGCCAGAAATCTTCTCAACAAAGCAGCAGTGAAACCAGGTCAGGTTCCATCCCTCTGGGGTTTTATTATCTGACACACATCTGTGCTGTTCATTCCCCCTGTTCCTGTCTTAGGGTCTTTCTATGTTTTTCCCCTCAGGAAGGCTTAGGTCACTATAGAAACAACACACCGACTGCGGCTTCCACATTCCTTCCACATTCAGGCTGAGAGCAGCTGATGTGATTGCTTGAAAATCACAGAAAAGGAAGAGCTCTGAGAGAACTGAGAGTATCTGCCCAAACCCTTCCTGCTGCTGCTTCGAGGAAGCCGTTGTAGTAATAATTATATTAACACTCATTTCACAGATAAGAAGGGTGAGGACTTGTCATCGACTGGAACTGACCGGCTGCCCAGACCCCAGACTCAGAAACTCAATGTTGTCAGACCACAAACTCCTGTTTCCTACTGTCCTGCCCCCTCCCCCATGGGTTCCCACCCTCCCACTGCCCAGCCCCACCTGCCTCTCTGACTGTTGCATGAAGCCCAGGGCCTGCCAGCTCTGTCACCCTCTCAGCAGCACCCTCAGTTCCCTTGCCTCTCTGAGGATTTTTTTCCCTTTAAAAATTTAATTAAGTTTAATTTTGTAGTGTGGTAAAATATACATAATCTAAAATTTGTACCATCTTAACCATTTCTGTGTGTACAGTTCAGTGGTATTAAGTACATTCACCCTTGACTATCCGCCATCCATCACCAGAACTTTCTGTCTTCCCAAACTGAAACTCCACACTCATTGCTATGGGCTGAATTATGTACAACTCCCCCACCTGCAACAATTCATATGTTGAAGTCCTAACCCCCAGTGGCTATTAGGAGACAGGACCTTTAAGGAGGCAATTAAGCTAAAATGAGGTCTCTAGGGAGGGCCCTAATCAAATAGGACTGGCGTCCCTACAAGAAGAGGCGATTAGGACACAGACACACACGGAGGGAAGACCCTGTGAGGACAAAGTGAGAAGATGACCATCAGCAAACCGAGGAGAGAAGCCTCAGTGAAACTGACCCTGCCTGCACCTTGATCTCTGACTTCCAGCCTCTAAAACTGTGAGGAAATAAATGTTTCTCGTTTAAGCCACCCAGTCTGTGGTACTTTGTTATGGCAGCTCAAGCTGACGAATCCCTCCATTAAACATTAACTCCCCCCTCCCCTTCCTCCAGCCCCTGGCACCCACCCTTCTACTTTCTGTCTCTGTGAACTGGACTTCTCTACGAATCTCCTATAAGTGGAATCATATAGTTTTATCTTTTTCTGTCCAGCTTATTTTATTTAGTATAATGTCCTCAAGGTTCATCCTTGTTCTAACATATGCCAGAATTTCCTTTTTTTTTTTTTTTTTTTAAAAAAAAAGGCTGAATAATATTCCCTTGTATGCATATACCTACCACATTTTGTTTAGCCAGGCAACTGTCAATGGACACCTGGGTTGCTCCCACCTCTTGGCTATTGTGGATAATGCTGCTGTGGACATGGGTGTGCAAATAGCTGTTGGAGTTATTGCTTTCAGTTCTTTGGGGTATATCCCCAGCAGTGGGATTGCTGGGTCATACGGTGATCCTGCTTAGTGTTTCTGAGGCGTGGCCCCTCTGAGCTCTGAGCTGGAACATCTTTCACTCTAGACGTAGCTCACAGCTGCCCTTCGTCGGGCTGGGAGCCAGGCAATACCAGACGTATCGCCTCTTCACACATACCTGGTCGCCAAACAAATTTGCCTCAGCATCTCCTCCAAATGTCTCCATTACCCTAAAGCCTGTAAATATACCTCCTGACTCTGAGCAGATACTATCACTCTTTTATTTTTAAAACATGGGACCATCCAACGAAGCCCTCCTCATCCTTCCCCGCTGCAAGGTTTTCTTTCTTTAGCAAGGTGGATTCTTCCTGATCCTGGTCACT